TCTGTCTCTGTCTTTCTGATGAGTGCATGTGCCCTATAGCAAAAACCTCTCTAAAAAAATTTAAAAAATAAATAACTATACAGAAATCTGTAATACTACTAGAAACTAGTAAAGGGTACCGTACCTATTCAAAAGTACCATTGTAGTCCCACTTTATTGTTGTTTTATTTTGGCCTGTGTTTTTGATGCTCTAACAAAGAAATCATTGCCAAGACCAATGTCAGAAAGCATTCTTGGGGTCAGCAGGTGACATGGTGGTTAAGGCCCATGACCAACAGCAGTCTGGATGCCTTGAAAATCATGCCAGGCATGTGTGCTTGAATGCCCAAAATCCCAGGAGTAGAAAGGATAGTGGCATGGCCATCTGTCCTGGGAGGTTATTTCTCCCTCTCTCTCTTACTGTCTGTCTTTGGCAAGCACATGCACTCTCTTGCAAAAACCTAAAAAAAAAAAAAAGGGCAGTTTGTCTGTAATATATTTTGAGTTGGCTTTTATATATAGTATGTGGTTGCAATTCAATTCATTTTTCTAATGTGGATATTCACTTTTCCCAAAAGCATTTAATAAGGAAAATTTCTCTTATTCTGGGTTCCCCCACCCATAATTAACAGACATTAACAGTATGTTCTCTATTCTGTCTATTGGTCTTTATGTTTATTTGTTAGATTTCATCAATGCACCTGCTGGAGAAAGACAAAGAGACAGTGAGAGGAAAAGTGAGAAATCATCTCCTGGTATGATGGCAACGCCACAATACTTCCTAATCTCCTCTCGAGATTTTGGGTATGAACATTTATACATCCAGCATGATTTTCAAGCTGCCAGGTCCGGGACATGAGCCATGGTCATCCATGTGGGAGCCCAGTGTCTTAACCACCATGCCACCTACTGGCCTTTTTATATCTATTTTTATGCCAATATTTTGAGATAAAAAAATGCGATGTTTCAGCCTTACTCTTCTTGCTCAAAATCCCTTTGACTATTTGGGAGCTTTTGTGGTTTCATATGAGTTTTAGGATTTATTTTCTATTTCTGCAACAATCATTGAGATTTTGATAGGAATTTTATTGAATTGTAGATTTCATTAGGAAGTATGTACATTTTAACAATATGAATTCTTCCATTCCTTGAACATGGGAAATTTTCCTATATATATTTTTAACTTTCTTCACCAATATTTTGTCATTTTTAGTACACAAATGTTTCACTCTCTTTGTAAAGTTTATTTGAATATATTTTGTTCTTTTCTATGTTGTTGTAAATAAATTGTTTTGTTTTAAATATTTTTTTTCAAATAGTTGTCAATGTATAGTAACAAAACAAATTTTCAGATGTTAATTTTGTAAATTTACTGAATTTGTTTATTCTAAGAGTTCTTGTTGAGTTGTTAGGGTTGTCAACATAGAAAATTGTATCATTTGCAAATACAGATAATTTTACTTTTTCCTTTCTGATTTACATGCCTTTTTTTCATGTGTGTGTGTGTGTGTAATTAGTATGGCTAAGCATTCTAGTTCTATAACCATAAGGGTGGCAAGAGTGAACATACTCATCGGATTCCTTATCTCAAGGGAAAAGGTTTCAACTTTTCACCAGTGAGCTGTGGGCTTTTACATGCAGCCTATCTTGCAGTAAAGTGAGTTTCTTCTATATCTAATTTGTTGATTTTTTTAACCCTAAATTTGTCAAATGCTTTTACCTCCTTACATTGACTGAGATTATCACGTGATTTTTTTGTTCTTTATTCTGTAAATGTGGTATACAACATTAAAAGATTTACACATATTCCGCCATATTTTTATCCCAGAAACAAATTCCACGTGGCCCTTATAATTAGTTCTTTTTGCTATGAATTCAGTTTGCCAATACTATTAGCACTGTTTCATTCATGTTCATCAGGATATGGGCCTGTAGTTTTCTTTTCTTACAATCCTTTTATCCGACTTTATTATCAGAGTTGTGACAATCTTAGAACATATATTTGGAAGTGTCCCTTCTTTTATATTTTTGGAAAGGGTTGAAGATTGATGTTAGTTCTTCTTTAGCTGTTAGGAAGAATTGATCAGTAAGGTCATCTGGTTCTGGGCTTTCTTTATTTGCAGGTTTTGAATTATTGATTTAGTGTTCTTATTTGTTATTGATCTGTTTGGATTTTCCTGTCTCTTCATGAGTAGTCTATTTTTTAAGGGTTACAGGGTGCATGTGTGTGCACAAGAAAAGAAGAGGGGTGAGAGACAAACTCTATTTGGGACATGGTCACCCACAATCATTTTTCTTCTCATTCTCCATTGTCAGGATCTTGAGCACATGTGTACATGCACAGCATATTTTTCAAGTGCAAAATACTGGGACTCAAAACCAGGTCAGCCACGAGGAATCCGGCTTTCTCTGAAGAATGCCTAACTGCTGTACCACAGGGCCAGCTCCCATGATTCAGTTTTGACAGATTTCATGTTTCTGGAAATGTATCCTTTTGTTCTCATTTGTCTAATTTTTTCTATGTGTAACTGTTCACAACAGTCCCTTATGGTCTTCTTTATTTCTGTGTCACTTGTTGTAATCTATTTCCTAGTCTGTGTGTAAGCAGATTGTCTATTTTTCTATCTTCCAAAAAGAAACTTAAAATGATCTTTTCTATTGTTTTAATATTCTTGATTTTATTTAATTCTGCTCTTATTTTTATTAGTTCTTTCTTCTGAATTTGGCTTTGTTTATTCTTATTTTTCTAGTTTCCTGAAGCATAACATTATGTTGACTATATGAGATATTTCTTCTGTTTTTAATTTAGGCATTTTTTTAAGAACTTCCTTCTTAGTACTACTTATACATGCCATAAGTTTTCATATATATGGTTTTGTTTACATTTGTCCTGAGATATTTTCTTTTTGATTTCTTCTTTGATCCAATAATCTTTCAATGGTGTTTGTTTAAGATACCAGACCATAGTGCATAAATAAAATGCAATTCCCTGCAAGGCAGACCCACAAGGAAACACTGCCAAATCAAGTCTAGAGACCCCCTGGAGTATGCAATGCTCTTGTGAGCACATGATCTGTATTGGCTACAGCTAAGCTAAGGGTGGATCGGCACTTTGAGAACCTGTCAGGGATGCCGTATGCCATCTTCCTGTCTCTGTCTCTCTGTCTGTCTCTCTGACTAATGGAATAACTCACTCAAAAAACCAGAATGCGTTTAAAAATTTCTTTGTATTTGTGACTTTTAGTGTTTTCTTATCTTAAAGTCACTAGTAGGGTAGACTTTATAGTAAATGTTCTTATTACAAAAACAATAATAGCAACAACTGAAAAGTCGGAGAGAAAACTTACTAAGGTGATGAATTTGTCTGTAGCATAGATTGTGTTGATGTTTTTTTGTTACACACTTATCTTCAAGCTCATAACATTGTATATATTAAATATGTACAGCTTTTTGTACATCAGTCAATGGTTTTAAATGGTTGGATTAATAAATCTAGAAACTATAATAATAGCTCAAAAATAAATCGCAGTATGTAACATAAGTTTGCATATTATACAATAAAATGTGTAATTCAGTTCCTTTTTTTTTTTTTCAAAAAACCTCTAGAGGTTTTTTTTTTGAAAAATTGACAACAAGACTCATGAGAAAATGTCAATAGTTCAGTATTTTATGAAGGAGAACCTTCAAGAATTTCACAATAAATGGATATTATGAAAACTATGTATAGGTTTCCATTTCTTTTATAAACAAAATAAACTCACAATTTCAATCTACCCTTCCACAATTTTTAAAAGTACCCTCATATATACGAGAAAGACGTACTTGCCTAGAAAGAAGATTGAAGGAATCAGAAGTAAAACATCAATACCATACAGCATGGATTAGCAGGCGGGGCCACAATAAACATGAACTCTAAGGTCTTTTACATGGTAATGGAAAAGATTACCCCTTCTGTTCACACTACATAGGCACCCTTCCAAATAATGGATATTTCTAAATAAGCAAGATATTAACAGTGGTCTATGTATGAAAGATTCTTCTGTGAACATAAGTTCTGAAGGAATAAATATCCATCTTAACTTCCAGAAATATAAATAATTCTTTCTAAGGATAGAAATCATAAGGTAGCCACCAAACTCTATGTATCAATGTATGGACTCAGAATTTGTCCATCTTTAACAATAGTAAAATTGCAACCCATTTTTTAAATTCTAAGATTCATAGCATTTGGGTCATGGAATGTATAAACCTATGGGAAATGTTTGATCCAATAGCAAAATTTAAAGAAAGAAAATAAGTGTTTGTTATGAGAAAGTTAATTTAAAGGAAAATAATTATCAAAGGCAGAAAATTTTAAATGAGGTAAAATAGAAAAGTTTTAAGAAATTCTCTGAGAATTTGGAGCAAAACATAAAATGTTAAATATTATGTAAAAAAAAAAGTAAGAGATGTGCATGAAAGATTCTAATGCCAAAGCATTGGGATTTCATAAAGTGGCAAGTAGAGAAAAAAAAGAGAAAAGAATGTAATGGGAGAATTTTACTGGCAGAGGGGTAAGAATTTATTTTTTCAATCATTTTACTTTAATATTACTGAACATGATATTAATAACTAAACTTACACTTATTTTACATTTAGTAGGTGAAAAATCCCTGCTACCATGTAGGCAAGATAAACAAGTTATTTAAATGAATACACAAAAAGACAAAAAAGAGGCATGAGATAAGTATGTGGTGTATCACAGAGATTTGTATGTATGACTAGTTCCTCTCATCATTGTCAGAGAATTATTTTAAGCAAGTTATAAGTGAGCAAACAAAACAAGCTTCCTTCATGCCTCTGAGACTTTCATGGTAGAGAAACAACAAATGTATTTGTCATAAAATTAGCCAAAGGCATGACACATATACTGGGTCACACCCACACTGAAAGCATATAAAAAGCCCTCTATAGGGAGAATTGTCTAGACTCAAGTCACCTTTAATCCTCTCTACCCAACGACAACCTCAATAACCAACACCATGTGTGGCAACTACTGTGGAAACTACTATGGCAGCTGTGGCTATGGAGCCTGTGGCTACAGAGGCCTGGGCTGTGGCTATGGATCCCTGGGCTGTGGCTATGGCTGTGGCTATGGTGGCCTGGGATATGGCTATGGAGGCCTGGGCTGTGGCTATGGCTGTGGCTATGGATGTGGGTCCCGCTCTCTCTATGGCTGTGGCTACAGATGTGGCTGTGGTTATGGCTCTGGCTTTGGCTACTATTGAAGAAGATGCTATGGGATATTCTCACCCTCTATGCCTGTGACATCATGATTTACTATCCCTGAATCCCATGTGCTTGGCCTACCCTACCCCACTAAGGTTTGGGTAATCCTGCACCACCAACTTCTGACGTATTTTGCTGATGACCTGCAATCTGGTGGCTCAATTTGACTCTAATTGTCCTACCCATGTATTCTAATGCCTTGCCTCAAGATAAGTGGAAAAATGTGAAATTCATCTGTAATCCTCTAACGAGACTGACGAAGTCACTGGTCCTACCTTGATAATTTCCGTATATCATTCTGTTTCCCACTGTTCCTAATAAACTTAGTTAACTTGAAATAACAGAACTGGTTTTCATTCTATTTATTACATGTAATAGAATTTATTTTATGTTTTTGGATTTTTAATTTGCTTTTTTCTAAGAAAGGTCGCAATCGCTATATCATATAATGCTATATATTGATTTAATATTTCTACTGGGTCATCTGGAAAGTCATGACACATTTTTGCATAGAAAAATATATCATTATCCAGATGACCTAATACTAAAAGCATTTTTAAATTATTTATTTTTTTAGAGAGAGTTTTGCTATGGAGCATGCTCACTCATTAGAGACACATAGAGACAGAAGCAAGAAATCATGTTATGGCCACACCTCAATCCCTTCTCCTCCATTCTCCTCTCTAGATTTTGGGCATGCCTGCACACATGTGCAGCGTGAATTTTAAGCCACCAGGTCTGGAACTCAAACCACTGTCAACTACGTTGAAGTCCAGGGAAGTAATCATTACACCATCTACTGGTCCCTCAAAAAGGATTTTAATATTTATAAATTTTCTCCTTTGTAAAAGATGGGTGCGTATCTCTTTTGCTTGAAGTTTTCAAGACTAATTTAGATAACTTCTGCCAATTATTTAATTGCTGCTTACTTTATAGCAAATATTGTAAATTTTTTTTCTGCAAAACATCATCTACCAAGTTCCATGCCTGTCCAAATCCTATTTAAAGTTTTATTTTAAAATAATGTATATTCTAGGACAGCACTTGGCATGAAGGTTAAGGTGCTAGAACCCATATGTCCAACTGGGTGTGTTAAATCTCAGACCTGGCAATTAGAAAATCACACCAGGTACATGTGCCCAAAATTCCAAGAGGAGAAGGGAGGAGAAGGAATTGTGGCATGGCCATCCCACTAGGGGATGATATATTACTTTCTCTCTCTCTCTGACAAGTGCAAATGCCCTACAGGATAAAAAAAAATGACATACACAAAAATTGATTCTTTAATATACAGTTCTGTAATTTTAACACTGTACAAGGTTGATAAAACAATCACAGTTGGGGCCAGCAGGTGGCATAGTGGTTAAGGTGCTGGACGCCCATGTTTTTTACCACTGCTGGAGTCCTGAACTCCGGGTCATGAAACTCATGCTGAGTGTATGCATGCCCAAAATCATGAGAGGAGAATGAAGGAGAAGGAATGATGGTGTGGCCATCCCCCCTCGCCCCCCCTCCCGGAGGTGGCGGTTGATTGCTTGCTTTCTGTCTCTCCAGCGAATGCATCTGCCGTATAGCAAAAACCTCTAAAAACAAGAAAAAATCACAATTGGGGCCACCCAGTGGCATAGTAGTTAAAGCGCTAGACCCCCACATGGCCAACCATAATTCAAGTTTTAGACCTAGCAGTTTGAAAATCATGTCAGGCACTTGTGTGTACATGCGTCAAATCCTGAGAGGAGTCTGGAGAAGAGATTGAGTATGGCCATCTCTCCTGAGTAATTTCTCACATTCCCTATTTCTGTCTGTCTCTGGTGAGTACACATGCCCTATGACAAAACCAAAAATAAATAAACAAATAAATAAATAAAAACAAGATGTAAAATAGTGCCTTCACTCTTCTCCTAAATTTCTCCTAACAAAACTTAAAGGTCGGGGCCGGCAGGTGGCATGGTGGTTAAGGGCGCTGGACTCCCACATGGCTGACTACAGTTCAAGTCCTGGACCTGGTGACTTGTTTTCTCACTTTCTCTTTATCTCTCACTCTGTCCCTCTCTGGTTATATAAATTAATAAATAAGGCTAAATAAAATAATTCTTTAAAAAAAAACCCTTAAAAGTCAATCTTCTCATACTACTAAACACTGGCAATAACTAATTGCCCCATATTCTGTAGTTTTTGTCTTTTCTAGAAAGTTATGATTGAATAGGGGGTCCCCAAAATGGCTACTATTGAATATGCACTAGAAGAATTTATAAAGCTGAGCATGCAGTTGAACTCATGACTAGGATTTTATAGTAAAGTAGTAAGCATGCATAGCTAGATTATAAGGTGGAAAGAGATTCTGGAAGTATTTGTGTGGATACTTTTGCATGAGGATATATTGTTCTTTTCCACACAAAGCTCACCCTGTTCTCAGCAACTGAAGCAGCTTTTGTGTAATTTTTGCCCAGGGAACCCCATGGCTCTATTAATGGGAAGAGTTGAGGTTGAGGGGTGGAGGGGTGGGAGAAAGCAAAATTCCAGACACTCAAAAGGAAAGCATGTTCAGCAAAAACTACATTGTTTATGCAAAAAATCAAGGCATAGTGCAAGAAATTTATTACATAGAGAATAGTGGGAATGCTCCTGAAATTTAAGTTTCCAGATTTGGTATTAGGATAATGCTGGTTTCATGAAATGAGGAAAGTGTGCCTTCCTCTCTCTTTTTATTCTTTCTTTACTTTTATTCCCGCTTTCTGTCTTCTATCTGTATGAATTTATTTCACTTTTTCTAGAGAGATTTTATAGAATAAGTAAAATTTATAAAATTTTATAGAGTTAGTGTAATTTTTTTTCTTCCATGTTAGATGGAGTTCAACAGTGAAATCATGAGATCAGGAATTTTCTTTATTGGAAGGATTTTAATGAAAAAAAAAAAAACTATTTTGGGACCAGCAGTTAGCATAATGGCTAAGTTGGGAAGAGTTGAGGTTGAGGGGTGGAGGGGTGGGAGAAAGCAAAATTCCAGACACTCAAAAGGAAAGCATGTTCAGCAAAAACTACATTGTTTATGCAAAAAATCAAGGCATAGTGCAAGAAATTTATTACATAGAGAATAGTGGGAATGCTCCTGAAATTTAAGTTTCCAGATTTGGTATTAGGATAATGCTGGTTTCATGAAATGAGGAAAGTGTGCCTTCCTCTCTCTTTTTATTCTTTCTTTACTTTTATTCCCGCTTTCTGTCTTCTCTCTGTATGAATTTATTTCACTTTTTCTAGAGAGATTTTATAGAATAAGTAAAATTTATAAAATTTTATAGAGTTAGTGTAATTTTTTTTCTTCCATGTTAGATGGAGTTCAACAGTGAAATCATGAGATCAGGAATTTTCTTTATTGGAAGGATTTTTAATGAAAAAAAAAAAAACTATTTTGGGACCAGCAGTTAGCATAATGGCTATGTCGCTGGACTCCCATGTAGTCGATTGTGGTTCATGTCCCAGACCCGGTGGCTTAAAACTCACGCCGGGCGCGTGTGCATGCATGCCCAAAATCCTGAGAGGAGAATGGAGGAGAAGGGATTGTGGTGTGGCCATTCCCCCTGGGGGGTGATTTATCGCTTTCTGTCTCTCTCTCTCTGTCTGGTGAGCACACACACCCTTTAGCCAAAACCTCTCCCCCCACCAAAAAAAAATATTTTCTCAGTAGGTATGTGAGAATCTATTTCTCCTAGAGCAAATGTTGGCACGTTCTGCCTTTTACATAGTCCAACAATTTTATCTCATTGATTGAATTAATGAGTATAATATTATTCTTTTTTCTCCCTTGTAGTCTTTTTATAACTAGGATTTGTGGTAATTTTCCTCATTTACCACTGCTATTGGTAAAATCTGTCTTCTCTGCTTGTCTTTCTGCTAGCCTTTCTAGTGGTTTTATCAACTTAATTAAACTTTTTATAGAATCAGCTCATGGTTTCAATTATTTTTTCTATTTATTTTCCATGATAAATTGTATGAATTTCAGATTATCTGTAATCCTTCACTTTTTTTAAAATCATTTACTGATTATTTTGGAGGAAATTTGGATTATCAATTTGAGAACTTTCTTTTCACATAGACATTTAATGCCATATGTTTCTCTTAAGTGCTGCTTTATTTGCATCTCAATAATTTTTACATGTTCTATTTCATTTTCATTCATTTGAAACTTTTTTTTCCTTTGGCTATAGGGCTTGAAAAAGCTTTCTGGAGAGAGATAAGGAAGAGAATGAGAAATTACCCCCCAAAGGATGGCAAAATAACAATCCCTTTTCCTTGATTCTTCTTTTAGGATTTTGAGCATACATGCACATGTGCTCTGTGTGATTTTCAAGCCAGCAGGTCCAGGACCAAACTGTTCCACCAGCCATGTGTGATCTAGTTGCCTTAACCTCCATACCACCTGTTGGACCAATCTGAAATATTTTAATATCACTAGAAATTATGTCTTTGACACTCAGGTTACTTATACATATTGGTTTTACTACCAAATGTTTGGAGATATTTTAAGTAATATTCTTACTGATTTGTCGTTTAACTTGTTTTGGTCTATGAAAACACTTTATATATATTTTTAAGTGGTATCTGTTTATTTCTTTTTCATGGAAGCCAGTGACAACAAGGACATGAGTTTCCATAATCTTTGGGACACTCCTAAAGCAGTCTTAAGAGGGAAGTTCACAGCTATTAGTCCACATAAGGGAAAGATGGAAAGAAGGCAAATGGATCACTTAACATCATGCCTCAGAGAATTGGAAAAGCAATAGAAAAAATATCTCAAAAAAAACAGGAGAAAGGAAATAATAAAGATACAAGGAGAAATAATTGAAATAAAAAATAAACAACCTATACAGAAAATAAATGAAAGTAAAAGCTGGTTCTTTGAAAAGATAAACAAAATTGACAAACCACTAGTGAAACTTATTAAGAAGAAGAAAGAAAAGAACCAGGTGAATCAGATCTACAATGAAGCAGGCAAAATTACAACACACATAGTAGAAATACAAAGCATTATTAGAGGATACTATGAACATCTGTATGCCAAGAAACAAGACAATCTGGATGAGATGGACAAATTCCTGGGCACATATAATCTACCAGGATTGAGCCAGGAGGATATAGAAAGACTGAATAGACCTATAACAAGCCAGGAGATTGAATTAGTAATAAATAATCTCCCAAAAATGAAAAGCCCTAGTCCTGATGGATTCACCTCTGAATTCTACAAAACTTTCAAAGAAGAGTTAACTCCCATTCTCCTCGATTTATTTCTAAAGATCCAAAAAGGTTAATCTCTCCCTAATTCACTCTATGAAGCCTTTATCACCCTTATCCTTAAAACAGATAAGTAAAGGACAAGGAAGGAGAACTGTAGACCAATAACCTTGATGAATATAGATGTAAAGATTCTCAGCAAGATACTAGCAAATTGTATCCAACAACTTATAAAAAAGATTATACATCATGATCAGGTGGGCTTTATTCCAGGAATGCAAGGTTGGTTCAACATATGCAAAACCATAAATGTAATACACCATATTAATAGGAATAAAGATAAAAACCATATGGGCATATCAATTGATGTAGAAAAAGCACTTGATAAGAAACAGCATCCCTTCATGATCAAGACTCTCAGCAAAATTGGCATAGAAGGGTCATTTCTCAACACAATAAAAGCTATCAATGAAAATCCCATAATGAACATCATCCTCAGTGGAGAAAAGCTGTAAGCTTTTCCTCTAAAAACGGGTACAAGACAAGGATGCCCACTTTCTTCACTCCTTTTCAATATAGTACTGGAAGTCATCGCAATGCAATCAGAAAAGAGAAAAAAATGAAAGGCATTTGAATAGGAAAAGAAGAGGTGAAACTCTCTGCAGATGACATGATTGTATACATAGAAGACCCAATGGTTTCCATGAAAAAATTTCAGGAAATAATATATGAACACATTAAAGTTGCAAGATACAAAATTAATATCCAGAAATCTATAGCATATCTGTATATGAACAACAGGCAGACTGAGGTAGAACTGAAAAAATTATTCCATTTACCATAGCCACAAAAAGTATAAGATACTTAGGGATAAATCTAATCAAAGATGTTAAAGACCTCCACAAGAAAAAGTACGAGAAGATGAAAGAAAGAAATTGAAAATGACACAAAAAAGTAGAAGAATATCCCACGTTTCTGGTTTGGACGAATTAATATAATCAAAATGGCAATTCTACCCAAATTAATCTACATATTTAATGCAATGCCAATCAAAGTACCAGACACATTCTTCACAGATCTAGGAAAAACTATCATAAATTTTGTCTGGAATCATAAAAGACCCTGTATTTCCAAAGCAATTCTGCACAAGAAGAGTGGAGGGGGTTGCATCTAACTCCCTGACTGAAAAATATACTACAAAGCTGTGGTAATCAAAGCAGCATGATACTGGAATGAGAGAGACATATGGACCAATAGAACAGAATAGAGTCACCAGAAATAAATTCCCAAACATACAGTCAACTAATTTTTGAAAAAGGGTACCAGTTTATCAACTGGAAAATGGAAAAACCTCTTCAGCAAATGGTGCTAGAAAAACTGGATTTCACTTGCAGAAAGATGAATATAAATCTCTACCTCTCACCTCTGACAAAAATAAAGTAAAGGTGGATCAAAGATCTAATTTTAAGACCTCAAACTATAAAACTGCTCCTAGAAAACACTGGGGAAACTCTGAGAGACATTTGGGGTAGGCAAAGACTTCTTAAATAAGACCCCCAAAGCACAGTCGATAATCCCCAAAAGAGACAAGTGAGATTACATCAGACTAAGAAGTTTCTGCATGGCAAAAGACACAGTAATTAGTGTGAATAGACAGCCCTCAGAATGGGAAAATATTTTTGTAAACTATGCATCAGATAAAGGACTGATAACCAGAATTTACAAGGAACTCAAGCAGCTGTTCTGAAAAAAAGGTGATCAATCCTATTAAAAGATGGGAGAATGAGTTGGAAAAACCACTCTCTAAAGATGACATAAGAATAGCTAAAAGGCATATGAAAAAATGCTCAACATCCCTCATTGAAGGGAAAGGCAGATCAAAACAACGAGATACCACCTAACCCCAGTCAGAATGACTAAGAGTAAAACAACAACAACAAAAAAGTGGTGGAAAGGGAACTCTTCTACACTGCTGGTGGGAATGTAAATTGGTCCAGCCACTGTGGAGAACAATTTGGAGAGTCCTCAAAAGTCTACAAGTAGAACTACCATATGATCCAGCAATACCACTACTTGGAATCTATCCAAAGGACAGAAGAATACTTAATCCAAAAAGTACTTGCACGTTGATATTTATTGTGGCACTATTCACAATTGCTAAGTCATGGAAACAACCCAAATGCCCACGAACAGATGAATGGATAGAAAAACTGTGGCACATATACTCTATGCAATACCATTCAGCGATTAAAAAAAAAAACCTGGCTTTTGACAGGAAGTGGATGAATATAGAAGATTTACTGCTGAGTGAAGCAAGCCAGGTTATGAAGGAGAGGTATTGTATGTCCCCATTTAGTATATACTGAGTGTCTGCACTCTTTGACTGAAACTGATTCACTAAATGATAGAGAAACACACTATATAGATGTACATACCAGTCATAGTGTGTGTGAAAGAAGAGGGTCTGAGAAAGGACATGGAGAAGAAAAATAGGAAGGCAAAGTATTAATGGCACAAAGAAATATGATATTATCTGTTAAAGATATTTTGTATTTTTATGAACTGTACTAGGGAGAAATGTTCACCTGTTGAAATAACCATTTTGTAAGCCAAATAATAATGTGATTGAATGTATAAAAGAAAACGAAATTAAATAGACAAATAAATAAAGAAATATAGAGATGCAGAAATGGAAAACCCCAATGAGGTCTTCAAACCACTGTCTTCTCTTAGTCTTAGGAAGCACAGATTATGGGCATTAATGCATTCAGCATACACGGGAATGTTCCAAGATGTAAGTTCATGACCTTCATATCTGGGTCCTATCACAGATCTGCTACACCACAGTCTGACTTTTTCATAATTTCTGTACTTCAAATTTATTATGGCTTGCTTTACTATACAAAAGATTATCTATCTTGGAGAATGTTTCTGTGCACCTGAGAAGAATATGTATTCTGAGGACCTTGGGTAGAATGTTCTATAAACATCAAGTATGTTAAACTTCATATAGTCGATAAGTTTTCCTATTCCCTTGCTGAACACTGCTTGTTTTTCATACTTACTATTGAGAAAAGATAGTTAAAGTTTCTAATGTAATTGTGCATTTGATTATTTCTTTTTATTCTAGCAGGATTTTTTTACCTTTACTCATGACAAGGCACGTACACATACAAGTGAGAAGACACCATGATTCTCTTTCTCCAGTCTTCCAGTCCATTGGATCTTGGGTACTTGCACATCTGCCAGGCTTCTCTCAGGTCAACCAGGCAGGAAATTCAAAACCCTATCATCATGAGGAATATAGTTTCTCCTTAGCACTGCATCACTGCTGGGCCATTGAGCCAGACCAAATTTTTTGGATTTTTTTGCTTTATGTTTTTTGAACTCTCTTGATAGATTTTTATTGCTTCTCATTGAAATGACTATTTTATAATTGTGTTATATCCTTTCTAAACCCTTGTAAGTTTACTTCTCCTGTGTTTAATTTGTCTGATATTAAGGCAGTATTTCCTACTTTCGTTTGATATCGTTTTCATGATATCACTTTGTCTCTTGTTTACTCTGTCTTTTTGTCCTTTCTCTAACATAAAAGTAAATGTCATATGCATTACAGAAACATACTTTCAGACTCCCTTACTTAATATAACTTTTTGCTTACCACAATTAGGTGGCTTTTAAAGAACTTATAAGGAAAAAAAATCTAGTTTATTTACTCTAATACTTACAATTTTCAGTTACTTTTTGTTTATTTAAGTTACAAGTTTCCCTTTATTATTTTCTTTCTTTGGCCTGAAAAAATCCTTTACTACTTCTTGTAGAAAAGCTTCTCTCAATACAAATTCCAAGGGCTGAGGGCTGATGCCATTGCCGGTGATTAAAGGAGCTGTATTTCACATGTCAACTATGGCTGTATCTCACAGTCAAGGTGGCTTGAAAAATACACTGGACAAATATGCAAGAGTGCCCCAAATTCTCACCAGATAGGGAAGTGGAGGGGAAGGGATTGAAGCATGACTATGTCCCATTGGGGAATTCTTCCCCCCTCTCTCACAATTTCTTTCTTTCCCTGGCAAGCCCATATACCCTGTGGCAGAAAACAAAACAAAAACAAAGATATATACTGAATATATGTGTGTAAAGTCTATTTCTTTTTTCTTTTTCTTTTTCTTTCTTTTTTCTCCCGTAAGAGTAAGAGACAGAGAAAAACAAGCACCCACAACAGGTTCTCAAGCCATGAACCCAACCCTTGACCTTCTCATCCAACAAGGAGCATAGGTCATGTGCCCACATTTACAGGTTAACCAAACCCATGATCTTCCATATTGACCCACATTGTTTGAATAGCATGTCACTGTTGCACTACCAAGCCACGATAATACACAAATGAATGTCAAGATGGTTATAACTGATTGAATAAATTTATTAGGAAAACAGAAAAAAAGCTCCTGAAAGAAAGTTAAAAGACAAAATTTGTGACAGACACATCTTGAGAAGAGATCATACAATTCTTCACGGGATAAATTTACACTCTCCCATTTTTCATGAATTAAGTCCCAAAAAAGGCAAAGTTTGAGATACGAGATCCAGAGGCACTGGAAGATAAGTCTTCAGAAAAATTACATTAAAAAACTAAGATGTGAGATCATTATCACCAAAATGTGAGGCTGAGAATATACATGGCTCAGAATTTTTGAATGCCAATGTCACAGATATAGAAGGTAAGAGTCTCTCATAGAGTCTTCAATAGTAGTAGCCACAGCCAGAGCCACAACCATAGCCACAGCCATAGCCACAGCCCAGTCTGCGGAAGCCACAGCCATAGCCATAGCCTAGACCTCCATAGCCACAGCCATAGCCACAGCCCAGGCCTCCATAGCCACAACCATAGCCACAGCCCAGACCTCTATAGCCACAGCCATAGCCATAGCCCAGGCCTCCATAGCCACAGCATCCATAGCCACGGCCACCATAGTAGTTTCCGTAGTAGCAGCCACACATGGTGTTGGTTGTTGAGGTTTTCTTTGGGTAGAGAAGGAGTGGAGGTGAATCGAGTCTGGACAATCCTCCCTGTAGAGGGCCTTTTATATGTATTCAGTGTGGGTGTGACCCAGCATCTTTGTCATACTTTTGGCTAATTTTATGACTAATCTGATAAATTTGTGGTTTTTCAACTAGAAGATAAAGCCTCATAGGCATCAAGGAAGCTTACTTTGTTTAGTCTCTCAATTTGGATTCCCCTTATGTGATTGAGGACTTGAATAAATCACATTTACACAAAAAGATCTCATTCACACTAATATAATCCTGCCTTCAAAGTAGACTTCTGTTTTAATATCATAAGATCATCTTTTATATTAGGAAAAAACATGGCTATTGGTAAAAGTCTTTGATTTTGGCTGTAACAAATATTTTTCTGTGTTTAACATTTTATTAGAAAAAACAAACAATACTCATGTGTTTTTTTTCTTTTTATCTAAATTAAGAGGATATTTATGGAGAGTTAGTATCTGTTCTATACTGAAACCATAATGTATTTTAATACACACAGTGTTATCAATAATTCAACTAATTAAAAATTCTAGAAACCATATCAGAGCAAAATTAATTCTTGTTTCTTACTTACACCAGTGAATCAAATTTAATTTACATTCAACCAAAATTGATGAACAAATTTTAGTTATTTTCTTGATCCACAAAAAAATTAATAAATAACTAAGTCAATAAAATGAAAGGATATTTTATATTTTATACATATATTTATTATTATTATTATTTTTTTTAGGTTTTTGCCATAGGGCACATGTGCTTGCTGGAGAGAGACACACACACAGAGAGAGGAAAAGTAAGAAATCACTCCCTCCCCCCCCAAGGGGTATAGTCATGCCACAATCTTGTCTCCTCTATTTCCTCTCAGGATTTTGGGCCCACATGAACACAATTTCCAAAGCACCAGGTCTGGGACTTGAGGAATAACTGGCCATGTGGGAGTCCAGCACCTTAACCATGATGCCACCTGCTGACCCCCTATATTCTTTTTTTAATGTATCTGAAAACAATTCTAGACCTACAGAAATTTGTCAGAGTATTATAGAAAATTTCCATATACCGAGGCTGGCAGGTGGTGTGGTGGTTAGGAGCACTGGACTCCCACATGGCAAACCGTGGTTCAAGTCTCAGACCTAATGGTTAGACTTCTCACTTTCCTTTTCTCTCTCTCTCTCTCTGTCTCTCTATGGTCAAATTAAAAGATTATAATAACAAACAGAATTAAATAAATAAATAATTCTTGAAAAAAAAAAAGCTTCCATATACCAATAACTCAACCTTTCCTAATGTTTTTCTATTTTATTTTATTTTAATTTCTTGGAGAGATTTTTGCTATAGGGCATGTGTACTCGCCAGAAAGACAGAGATAGACAGAAAGTAAGAAATCACGCCCTCCCACCCCCAGGGCATGGCCACACCGCAATCCCTTCTCCTCCATTCTCCTCTTGGGATCTTGGGTACGCATGTACATGCGCCCAGCGTGAGTTTAAGCCACTGGATCCAGGACTCAAACCATGGTCTACTACACCGGAGTCCAGCAACATAGTCATTATGCCAACTGTTGGTCCCAACTTTCCCTAATGTTAATATCTTTTATAACCATAATTCATTATTGGATCAAATAAATTAACTTTATATAATGCTCTTAACTAAGCTTTTACCTTATAACATTTTTCTATTAATACTCTCCTCTGCTTCAGGTTCCAATTCACTTTGCATTTGGTTGTTGTATCTTATTAGCCTCTTCCAATTAGTAATAGTTCCTCAGTCTTTCCTTGACTCTTAAGACCTTGACAGCTTTAAAGAGTTTAGTATTTGGGGCCAGCCATACAGCCCACAAATTCAGGGAATCAGATTACACATAAATGACCATGGCCCTAGTCCCAGCCCCAGAGGCTTAAAAGCCTCACTGGACACCTATGCAAGCATGCCCAGAAATCTGGCACAATTAACAAGTGGAGGAGAAGGGATTGTGGTATACCACGTAATTGTAGCATACCTGCTCCATTGTGGGAGGTTGTTCTCTCTCTCTCTCTGTCTTTCTCTGGTGCATGTGCTCCCCTCCAGAAATAAAAAATTAAAAAAGAAAGCATTCAGTACTTCACAGTGTATTTTCCAATTTGAATTCATCTGAAGTTTTCCTATAACTAGGTTAAGGTTATCAGAAGAGATATGACTATTGCAGTGCATCAAATTGGGGAGTATGTGATGTCAATCAATATTTTATAACTTTCAAGTTTCTCTTTTTTTCCCCCCAATAGACTAAGTCTTCTACTTCCTATTTGTCCAGGATAATTGAGGTTGAATATCAAGGTCTCTGACATGGTTTTGGACCACAAATAAATTATAAATGCATATACTATATATGTATAAACAAAATTAATAATACTACTTCACAAAAATATGATAATATCTTTTATTATACAACATTTTAAAAGTGAAATTTGCTACCATATCTTCTCATACACAAACTTAGCAGACATTCTTATCCCTTTGAAACCTCACTTTTTTTTTTTTCTTTTGAGAGGTTCTTGCCATAGAGTGTGTGGTCTCACCAGAAAGAAAGACAGAGACATTCAGGGAGAATGTGAGAGATCACTCCCTAGGGGGATGGCCATGCCACAATTCATTTTCCATTATCCTCCTGGGATCTCAGGCACACATGCATACACACATATACACACACACACACATACACACACACATGGCATGAGTTTTAAGCCACAGGGTCCAGGACTTGAACTGCAGTCAGTCATGTGTAACAGCTACACTATCTGCTGGTTCCTGAAACCTCACTTTTATTCATAAGGTTACACATATGCAGATAGTAAGGAGAATATTAAGTAAAACTAGAATTTTTCTAAAGATGAAATCTGTATAGGTTAAATAATCTCGTGGTGGCTGGTAATGCAGTTTATTTTAAATTTGGCATCTTGAATAAGTAAGTCATAAAAGTAAGGGAAGAATCTCTCACTAAAGACATATGATTTCATTTCAGGCACCTGACATACAGCAAAGTTGCTTTGGATATATTGGTTATGAGGAAGATTGCAGTTGGCTTTAATGCCAATTAGTTTGGAATGTGAATCCTACAGTGCCTGTGGTTTGCCCCACATACCACTCAGTGGTATATAAGGCCCTGTGTGGATTATAAGCTTAACACTCTTGAATCTGAACCTGCTATACAACTGAACCTTCTTTCCTGACACCATGTGCTGCTGCAACAACTACTATAGTGGACTAGGCTATGGCTACGGAGGCCTGGGCTGTGGTTATGGCTGGGGGCTCTGGCTGTGGTTATGGCTGTGGCTATGGCTGTGGCTATGGTGGCTATGGCTGTGGCTATGGTGGCTATGGTGGTTATGGATATTCTTGTTACCGCCCATGCTGCTATGGAAGATATTGGTCTTCTGGCTTTTTCTGAGAAGTTCGAGATTGCCAAACCTCTTATGCCATGTTCTTATGAGGCACTGCGTTTTCTTCCTGCATTATTTATAGCAATGATATCATAGTCTGTTCAAACAATGACAATTGAATCTTAGCCTGTAGTGTTACATCAGATCACTTCAATCAATTATCTGAAAATTATTTTTTCTTTTCTTTTTTTTTTTGAGAGATTTTTGCTATAATGCATGTGTGCTAGCCAGAGAGGCAGAGAGACGGTGAGAAAGAAATTGAAAAAATCACCCTTCAGGAGGGATTTCCACACTACAATCCCTTCTCCATTCTTCTCTCAGAATCATGGGCATGCACACACATGTGCCAGGCATCGGTTTTAAGCCACCAGGTTCAGGACTTGAACCATGGTCCACTATGTGGGAGTTCAGTGATGTAATCATTATGCCATCTGCTGGCCCACAATTATCTGGAAATTTCAATAATTTAGACAAATAAACAAATAAGAACTTCTGATGTTGCATTACTATTATGTAATTAACTGTAGTTTTAACTACATTTAGAAAAAATCTAAATTAAATTTCATTAAAGGTAATATTGTTGCAAAGCATATATTTGTTTATCTATGGTGATTTTATGTGTGTATGTGTATATGTATGTGTGACCAGGAGTGAAGTGACTGACACATTGATAGTCTATTTCTGATAATGTAGATACCCCAGCAATCTAGTATTGCTAAATTAGGACTAAGTGATATCTATATCCAACCAGTACTTTCATAAAATGTGTTTTCATGAGCAAATCCAATCATTTGCTATGGTTTATTATTTACTTTATCTTATGGAAACCTAGTATTCAATATGTCCAGTTTGACTGATTTCATTGGCAAAAACTTGACCACCTTTCTCATCATTTCGTTCTATTTAGCCTGAATTTTTTTCTTGTTAATTAAAAGTTGAATTTGTGGATCTGGACAACTGTTCCTTCTTTCTATATTGTATATTATGACTGTTTCTTTTTACTTATGGCAAAAATACTCTTGAGCTCATTCTATCCATGGTGGCTACAAAGATAACTGGTCTGATTGTCATTTCCATATGACCACAGAGAGAAAAAACAATTCAAGTTTGTTTCTGTGAACCTTCTCCAACATAAATACTTGCTCGCTTCCAGGTCAAAAATCTTTTATCATTCATAACAAAGCACAGGTTGGGTAGACCAAATTAATGAAAACCTAAGTCTACAACAAAGGTAGGCTGAAAGGTACAGACCAGTCTAAATTTTTCTGACATAAAATATGTACAGCAAAACTGTTCATAATAATTTGCCTGTATTTGATCTATTTATTATAATCAAGTGTTAATGACAGCATCAACAACTACAACATATACAACAACATCTTCTAATATTTTAATGACCAATATTAGCGTGTGAGATTCCTGCAAGTGATAGAAGAGCAATACTAAATTACTTTGTGAATAGTAATTAAAGTATGAGGTTGGCTAAACTCTTCACCAGTCACAAAATACACATTTTTGAAAATATCTAGACAAAAG